AAGAAGGGAAAAACCGGTCGTGGGCTGTCGACAAATTTTCGACAACCTTATTAGTAGTGCATTACAAAGGTTCTTATATTTTTGACATCACATTCATGTATATATATATATATAACTCCCAAAGTAGAGGCTTCAATCCCAGCCAAGCGGCTTTCACAAGCCGAATTCCGATCTGCAGTTAAATATGAATATAGCATCCATATTGAGTACATTATTCTCCCTGGGATTGTTTGACACACGGGAGCGGTGATAAATAAAATGCTGCAGGTGGGTGCCTTGATAAACTACTTGCCAGCTCGTCTAAACATGGTGTACGCCAGATCACTCGAGTCGGAGCGCTACGCACATTAGTGGACCAAGCAGCAGTCCACAGTGAGGTCGAAAATAGACATTCTCTCGGACGACAATTGGAAACTTATGATCTTTTGCATCAGTAAGGAACAGTAAGGAACAGATACTCTCAGTAGTCATCCTATGTAGAACAGGTACACCTGGAGTCATTCGGAGATCGCACAACACAAGCAACATTAGAGTAGCGTTTTAGAAGGGGGGTCTTGTTACTTACAGTATTGGTGCAACAGGAGCATCGTCTTTTGGCTGAGATCAGATAATGTATGCATAAAGTTGAACGCTATGAACGCACCAAGATCTACATGGGACAAACGGTCAGGGAGCACAAGAAGAGAATAACCGAAACAACCAGCAATGATAGGACTCAAGCTGGATGATGGGTATGGAAAAATTCTAGATAATGTGGAAGAACAAAGAGAGAAGTTACAACAAACATCAATGCGACTGACGGCTAAATTAGTGGAAATTTCCAAACAACTCAGTGTGAACAGAATGGTAAGCATAGAGCTAGCAATTAGTACTTTAGATAATGAGTTAACAGGTTGTGGTGCTCGCTTGTCAGAAAGAATAGCTTTCAGCGTAAGTGGTTTAGATGCAAAACAGAAAGTTCATCCCGACAAAAAAAATTATGAAATCCCTCTACTCCAGCGAACAGTGAATGAATGAACATAACCAGACAAACTGACAAACATTATAAGAGACATTCGTGGAGAACTTTATACGCATTCAGTTAAAAATGCCAGACCTCCTTGCTGGTCGGCCATGATGCTTGTTCATATACACTGACAGAAAAATCTCCTGTACGACAAGTTGGATTGATTTATCCTGCTAGTAGAAACATATCTCGTCAGGTGGTTCTCCGTACACCTTAAAACTCGACCAGCATGGTAACCTAGTCACTTGATCCGTGGAAGCCTTTGCGTCGAGGGTTGAATTTGACAGCGCAATTAATATGTCGGTTGTTTTCCAAATGATTTTCGGAGGCGACTGGATAAGTGTTCATGTAGGACGAACATACTGGGGATCACTCCACAGGTGGCAAGCTTCGGTCTGTGATCATGTACTATCATTGCTCAACTGATTGGCTGGCTTATGGCGAGTCATTTTGAGTAGAAACCCTGTGTAGGACCCTTACTACTCCAGGAACCAAAAACACTAGCGATCCCGAATGGGACTGCCTACCGGTGTAACGGTGGATACTACTGACGAGGCATGCGAGTAGTATGTTTTCTAGTAAATGCGCTTCGCGACTATTGAAAGGCGAGATTTACCACGGAATTCGTGGAATGCTTTGTAGCGTTCGTTTACATTTGAGTGATAGTCAATGGATATCCAGGATAGTTCAGGAAGACGCGTTAGCGAAGAAGACGGATATTCAGTTTTTATAAACAGGATGAGAGTGTTGCTTCCGGTCCAATAATCTGTTACTGTTCAATTGGTGTTTCCCAATAGATAACCCCTCAGCAAAGGCCTCCTTCCTTTCACCGAGAGACTGGCGCAAGTGGTATCGTATTCCTCCATCTATGCAGGCAGCACTATTTACTATCCATATATAGTACGCAGGTGCTAATATCTAGAAGCTTGCGTAAAGTCACAAAGGAGCCTTCGATTTACACGTTACTCAAAAAGTCTAAAGGGCTGAATCACATCAGTTTTTTCCGTGTGTAATGGCTCACTACACTGGTATCAAACTCATGAAAATGTGTAAATATTCCGTCACATTTTATTCACAAAACTGCTAATATGTTTAGTCCTAACCAATACTGTCATTAGGTTTCAAAATTGTCCAATGTCTTGGTTAAAGCATTGTTAAATGGTGACAATTCTGTTTGCATAGCTTCCTACTTATTCACGTAGTTGGACACTAATGTAAGTAAGAAAGGTTTTGTCTGAGTGTCTGCCAGAGTTTCACATAAAATCCAATGGCTAAAACTTTATTGGATCGGTGTTTTACTCGATGTTCACAATAAATGTGTAGTTTTTCATTTCAGAAGCCGTAGTCATAATTCTTGGTATCCGACCACACCTCAGATAACATATATACTGTCAAGTGAACCCTAATTTAATTGTCATATTCCTCGTTTTCCAACTAACCGCAACTTAATAGTGTGAGTATTGCAGTTTCAATGCAGTTCAATGCTTAAAAGCAAAACCCCACCAAAACAAAAGCAAACATTTCAGAGCGAAATAATCCGTATTATTTTTGCCAATAATTGCGTGGATTTTCAGGACACTACTATCAAAATTTGGTCCTGGACCAAATTCGCAGCCAAAGATACAGCCAAGGAATTTTTTGATAATTGTGTTCACAATCTATTGGCACGTTACGAGCCGTTGGTTTAACGGCGACATTTATAAGTCCGTGTGTTGAAGGCGTCCGGATAGTCATCAAAAGCTGTGTGCAATATGAGGTCACATGTTCACAACATTATCGTGGTCCATCCTTGGTTAATATGCACTGTCTGTTGTGCATGTGTTATTTTAAGAGTTCCCTAAAAATTAAACTATCGCAACACGTATCAACACTGGCTAACCGCAGGTCAATGTTTGGAATTTCCAATTCGTTACATTCGTGGATGTCACCAACGCAGTTTCCTTCAACAAACCGCAGGTTTTCGCAGCTTCTTTCTAGTTCATCATGTTGTAATAAGTTGATAGGAAGCGTTTGTTCTAACATATTAAAATGGTGAAAATACCACCAAAGCACTTGCGCCAAGGAAACATTCAACAAATGAAATGCTAATCTATGGCAGAATAAATGAACTGGTTATCTTTGAAGAACAGCGTATAATGTAGAAGCAAAGCCAGAAAACAGATGATGGACGAAACGTTCTGTGGCTCCCGCAAATTTGACAAGAAGCCATTCTCACCATTTTTGAGCGACTTTCTCAGCAGTAAGACCAGAAACTATATCATAGAAGAACTCTCAAGATAGTGTGCCACCATAAAGCTTGAGGAAAGATTAAAATTCCGTAGAACGATTAGGGGCCGAAGTTTTCTCATCTATAAGGCAGTCAATGAATTGTTCGGTCGTGTAGACACAGATCATTCCAGACAGCCAAATTCAAACACGGGCACTGGTCCTACACGAGCTTCACTCGGAAGCTTATTCCAGATATCCAGTGGTGTGCTGTCTGGATTACTCGTCCTCTCCCCAAGTTGCACCGCAAAATTAGTTGGTTTCAGATGGAAGTATTCTGACATTCATCAAAGCTCCTATTACGTGACAGCAAATGAGCACTCTGCTGTCCAGACTTCATCACGTGTAAAAGCACCGATTGATTCGCCACTTTATGCAACCGACAGAGTAGGGTGTCATACTTTTGACTATGTTGATGCGGTCGAGGTCAGCGATAACTCCGTTTCACGCTGGAATTTTCTGTCACCTATCATAACAACCGACAGACACGTTCATACTGAAGCTATGCTGTGTTGTTAAGGTGCAGGTTACGCTCTGGTATTTGTTGAAATAATGACAAAGCATGAAGCAGCAGGCACTGAGACCCAGCCTTAAATAGACTCCATAGTGCAGCCATACAAAGGGGCTGATGTCGAAGAAATATGCAATGTGGAGACTGTACACCGTAAGAAGAAAATTGCGTCAAAGTAATCACTAGCACAGAAAGACCAAAAATACCAAAAACTTACATGGGACCCCTGGGTTTAGGTGGTGCCCTAAACTGACATGACTGGACTGTCAGCAAACGACGAGTGCAGAAAAAATCACTTTTGGAGTTACCCAAACCAATTGTATCAATACTCATGTCCAAACACGCTTGTTATCGGCTGGTGTCAGACTGATACGTGCACTTTGGAGTCGCAAACGTGTTTTTGTCCTCCCGAAGGACTAACTGACAACCAACTCCGGTGGGCTTTAGACTCCCTGAGTGATTGACGTTGTTTGGACTGCAGCCTTGGTTGATAATATCAGTGACTGTTTGGAAACTCCGTAATGGATCAGCAACTGAATGCAAACTACCGGGCTGTTATGTTTAAACTTATCTACCAATATGAGCGGAACGAATATCGGCGCTCCAGCGTTGAGCAGTGGACTTTATCACCAAGTCCAATGGCTGATCTACTCTGGAGTACTTTGCCCAAACTTTGTCAGCGCCTTGAGGCGCCATCATGGTAACTGGAGATTTAAAGGGTGCGAAAAAACGTTTGTGTACTACTTCACTCTACCAACCAGTACAGGTGACTGATAGCACTGATATTTCAGATAAAGAATAAGCAATTTACCTCAGAGGTGAAAGACTCATAGGTCATAGTGTTTCGTGTAAGACAAATCTGGACTGAGTAATTGTCGGATTGCAGTTGAACCGGGGGTTACTTTCTTACGTGGCGAAGTTACCAGTAAGTTTTGCACTCACTCACGCAAGAATTTGGATGAAAAGTTGAACAACACCGAGGGCTAAACTTTTCGTTCTAACTCCATTAAAATACGGATTTAGTAAAGCTTAATTCCCAGAAAACACACGTTCTTGGAAAACCGCTAATTTTGAAGACGACTGGGCTGTTGCAGTGAGACAACCTGAGTGACTTAATGGCCTTCCATGACGTTTAGCAAAAAAAGGCAAGCAAATGCCGCATTACTGTTCACAAAACCATTCCCTTAAGACGTCCCGTTGACACGTACTCCTGCTGTGAATGTTTCATCGAAACAAACTTTAGAAACGGCAAATCACAATGGTTATGAGACACAATCCTGAGGAATGGACTTGACTTGCACGCACTTCCTGAAAGTCTGAAACTTCCTTGAAAGCTTTCAAAAAAGAACCTATCACATGAATTGTCCCAGTATAAGTGTGAGCTCCGTTTTCTAACTATAAAGTTTATGTTTGGTATGTGGGACGTAGAACACATCTTAATTAGGTTTTGGGGTATATTTCTCCCCAAAAACAGACCGCCACCAGAGGAGACATAGCAACCCTCTTCATTCCTTTCAAGTAGATTACAACAGATCTTGAAGTTGTTTTAGTAGGTTTATTGACACTCTAGAGTATGCAGAACAAAAAGGATGTCATTTGACTGGAGGGTACAGGATACTCATTCAACAGTGATCATTATATTTGACCCGTTAACTCGCAACTCCTTACAAACGCTGCGGCCACTACCTGCAAACTCTGATGTGTTTTATAACATTTATGAAAGTCTTACTTACGCCCCACCAAACGGATGAAATGGTTACTGTTTGAGGGAGAAATGTGGACAACCCTGTCTTTAACACTGTGGATTAAATCCGCGAAGCAAGTTTATTTCCGTTAGGTTGTGTTTGCAGATCACACAAAGTGCCGATTTAGGATGATTTCTTGTCAGTTTTCTCCGAAGACATTTGAAGATTACGCGTTACAACAAGGTGGTTGGTGAAGTATGCTCAACAAAGCACTTTGGACTACGTGACGCCGTATATCGGTTTACGGGACATCACTATTCTCTGCGCACGGAACAGATTGATGCCTCGTTAGTTTGTGCAATACTTGTTCGAACACCAACTAAGTGTCTGAAATGAGCGAATGAATTAATCAGCAACCAAAACACGTGTGGCACTCTTTTTTTCAAACAATGTTCCCTATTACCCAGTTCACAACACTGTATTTATGTAACAAACTCTGTTGGAAGCGTCTCACCACCAGTGGGGATGACATCGGAAATTTGTTTTGTGACACAGCTTGAAGCTTCTTGGGTAGATATGCAGCGGACAGTAAGGCGCATGAGGTTCACTCCCATCTGAAAGAGGCCGGACTTAGATCAGTACTGGTGTCTTGCATGGGAAAACCTATTTACTGAATTTTCAATCCCTTTGCTTGGCTACCTAATGCAGTTGCCATATCTGAGTTTGTGACCTCATTTCCATTGAGGCCCACATAAGAAATTCAGTTCAACGATTGAATTTATTGCGTTGATCAAACGTCTTCTCTTGACTTTGCTTCTTTGTCAACGAATTATCATCCGAATCATTATGCAGGTGGCTTTGTACCAGTGGAAAATGTTTAAATATTTCCGTGTGAGATTTACAGCACCAAACAATCAGATGTTTCATTAAAATCACCGCTTTCCGAGGTATGTTTCTCAAACATTACACAGGGATATGTTCAGTAAAGTTTGAGTAAGAAAAATAAAGGTCGCCGGTATCAGCAGTGCTTTCCTTTTCTTATTTCGAACGAGCCAAGAATTGACGTTGCTCGGATTTGGAAGCGGTTTTGGAGAACATTAACCCGGACCTAATTCACTAGGACCAATCTGAGCGAACGGTTGAAGTCTAAATAGGGACAACGTAGTCGGAAACTTGCTGATTTAGTTCAACCTCTTTTTATGTTCTCACTCACACTGTACCGAGTTGAACTTCTTTTTTCAACTTTTATTGTACCTATTTTTTACTTCTCGAAGATTTGAACCAGGTTTGTTCGGGCTTGTCTTCCATTACCAGTTAAATTTTAGAGAAAATAACCGGTAGGACTCAACAAAAAAAACAAAGCAGGTCATGCGGCTTACGGGGTAAATGCAATTATCTTCAGATAGCCTATTAAGAGAATCTTTCCATGAATTCCAATGTGAAGCTTAAAGCCGGTGAGGCCACAGGAGACACAAATTGCTGCCTATCCCCTTAGAGGACAAAATAGATATCTACGGGCTTTTACTTTTTCAATCTGAGTCATTTTGGTTTTACCGGATGGGCGAAATTCAACGGTATATTGTGAAAGTGGTAATGAAGATTTGATACACAACTTAAGGGTGTCAAACATAGCCGTGTAAAGTTGGACCACAAGCTTCAGCTACACACCTTAGTACTTAGTACAGAAAGTGCGTTCGTAGCTTCAGATCCATTTAAACCAATTACCCTGATGGTATGAATTTCGGCCATCACAAGTTGACACAGAGCGTGAGCAAACCTTACTTCTGTAAGGCAAACAAGCTTAACAGCAATCTTTCATCAATTAATTTAATCCCAAGATGGACAAATTAATTATCCGAGTTAGTCTAATCCCAAGTTGAACCGTCAAAAATGATCCATCTGATCGAATGATGTACGATCCGAGAATGAACGGATATCACATCTGAGAAGTAGCACTGTAACAAAGTGTTTATATCTCACTTTTAGCTTTGTTCAAAAAAATAAAGCTCCGAAATGTACCTATTCTTTCTGTTATTACGCGGCAGAAAAACAACGCCAGAGTCCATTCAGATTTCTAATCACGAACATCACCCTCCGCTTGGCAGAAGTCTGACAGAGTTATTTTCTTCGAAAGGCTATTAAATGTGTGTATTGTTCGTAAACTAAAGTCAACTTTCCAAACAAGAGATTGCAGGCTTGGAAGCATGTTTCGAGAATACAATCTTGGAATTTCATCTCGAGAGTTTGCAGATGTGTGGTAATGGTGTAACGGTGATACTACGAACGGGGCACATGCGAGTAGTATGTTTTCTCGCAAATCCGCTCTGCGTCTCTTGAAAAGTGAGATCTATTACGGAACTTGTGGAGTCTCATTTGTTTGGATTTAAGCAACAGTCAACGAATATCCAGGGAAATCTAGGAAGACGCGTTTAAAGAGGAGAAGGATATTCAGTTTTTGTAAACAAGATACATATGAGAGTTTTGCTCCGCTGTCCAGTGGTCTGTAAATGTCCAGTTGGTATTTTCTAATGAATAACTCAGCAGCGAAGACCTTCTTCCTTTCAATGGTAGCTCTCTGCATTGTTAACAATTCCTCTGTCCCGCTGTTGCATGAATATCTTTTTAGCATACATCTTCGATGCATTGGTTGCAGCGAACCAATTCTATTACTTAAAAATATCCAGTCCTTTGCCATTCTCCGGCGGTTATAGAGTCCAAGGAAATGATGTGTTAGAATACACAATTCATTCTTTTATACAAGTGCTCACAGGATTTACTCGACAGGCATATTAGAGAACGACATTTTGCACGCTCACTTGAGGATAATGATTTCGAATCAGTAGTTGCTGGTTTGATCTCTGATGGAACCCTAACTTTGTAGGTGTGAATATTCGGAGGCAAAGGCACTCCATTGAGATAAAAATCGTCGTTTAGTATGCTGCAGTGGATTCAATAACGATTTTCATCATCTGGAGATTTGGCGTGCCATTTATCACAATCAAAATCCGCGGCAGTCACGAGTGTTTTGCATGCAATAAATTGATTGCTGGCGTCGAACGAAATAAAGAATTTTCGACAAACCGTGTTTTGCTCACTCCCCACGCTGGATACATATCGACGAAGATTCAATAACATTAGAAAGTGGTCATATAAACCTCAGCCATGATACTATGCTTCAAAGCGAACTTGCCGCTTTGATGGTTTGTAGTGGAGGAATTACTTTTTGTTGTATATGTGCCAACCTTGGAAGGTACATTCTATCCAGGTAGATTACTCAAAGTATAAGGAATCCACTTGGTGCTTGTTTTCCACTCACTCTACCATGTGCTATGCATACAAAATAATCAAGAAAAATCGGCTATATGACAGGTCGTTTTCTTGTTGTGTTATCCATTACCATGACAACCGTGTTTAAGTACTCAGACGCGTTTATATCTGTCCGTTGTTGTTCTATAGCATTAACATTTCGTGAACATTCCACCTAACAAACGTTCTGACTTCTGTTCAGACTCCATAGTTAGCTTATTGTAGGGGACTACGCAAAATCTTACTCCAGGTCAGTGTTAATTTTATTTTTGAAGACTTAAAATATCGGTACACAAATGGCGGGAAACGGACCGAAAGTAAAAAATCTGCATTTTATGTGAAAAGCGTGAGTGATTCCTAAAATGTGAAGCCAATTATCGCGGCTGTAGCGAGATTGTAAGTTGCTGTAAGCACAGTTGGAGAATTGAAGTTTCGTGGCGACAAAATGCTGAAAAAAAATCCAAATTTATTACTTGGAAACCACGTTTTAATCTCCTCACAAGCTTGTAACTGGTCACCAGTATATTTCGGGTCAACTGGGGGACTCCTATTCCCTACTGGTATCTTAGCGCAGTGGTTCGGTGGCCAGCACCTGAGAAGTTGAAGTAACAAAGTTAAATCATTTTCGGGAATGTCTTGCTTGTTTTCCAGTTACGGAAGAAATTACATAAATATCTTCCTCTTATTCGCCTCAAAAATGTTTATTGACTCCTGGGTGGAACTTTTCTGAAATAAAATATGACCTCCTGTAGTTCACCACACCGTCATCGGTTCTCGTGTTTCACTTGGTATGTCTTTATCCATGTAAGTGAAGACCCAGTTTCCCATACAAGTAACGCTAGGAACTATAACTGGAACCCTTGTAAATACAAGAAAACGCCCTGAAAAGAATTTTTTCGGAAACAATAATGAAGTTTTTCGACAATTTTGTCGCCTGACTACGTGATTTAGCTTCCATTGGTGAAGTGTGAGTGGTGGTGGCTGATCAGCCGCCCGAAACTTAACGGTCAAGTGTTCAAACCATTAATCAAGAGGCCGCCTGTTCGAAACTGCTTTCCGACTGCATGCAACTGATGATTCCCAAAAGGAACGAAATAGCTATACAGTGCTTCCCAATGTTCCAGCAAGAGTGACTTCACCTTCGAAATGGAATATCAGTTGAAAATTTTGTTATAACCGCAATGTCTGTGGAGGATGTTTGGGAAGTGGTGTGTGACTGCCACTACAAAAAACCCAAGGGGAGTTTGGTGAGAATAAGGGAGGAATTTTAAGTGTGAACACTTCTTGTGGGACTGAGACTAGCCATTGGTTAAGCAGCCATTCACTGTTCTGCCTTAAGCTTCATAACCCCATGTATGCCTTCTAGCTCACAATAAGTAGGTTGTGACTCAAAACCCCTAAGACATTAAAAAATTCGTCCCTGCTGTTTGTCAAGTTACACTGGCGTTTCCAACAACTGGTAGTTGTGAGAAAGCGTCGTCAACCCACGACCGGTCACGGAACTTCAAGGATTTTGTTTGCCCGATCAGTCAAATGAAAAACAAAACCCTTCTGGGTCTGTCGAATGGCTTGCGAAAACCTTATTAATTTTCCTTTCAAGATAATATGCTGCAATGTCTCGAATAGAGCAATAATTGAAAAGTGAAGTGACCTTTGTGCATCTCATTCAGGTGAACAGTAAAACGAAATGGAGATTGAGTTAGGATTGAGTTGAGTCCCCCGTTAAAAATAAATTGTCGTACAAATTGGTGCATTCTTCACAATTGCAAGTTCGTTAGAATGCAGTTGTTTCCGGGGACGTTAAATCTCAAGAATAAGCTTACTAACTGGATTAGCTAAGTGTATATTTGTTTACAACGACTAAAGATGGCATCCTTGCAGACAGAACATCCGTAAATAGATTACTATCTTCTAAGCCATGAGAAAGGGGTGTATAAAACCAATTTACGTTCTGGTTCACGTGCGCTGACCTCATATTTACATTCTGCTTCTGTCAATAATATCAGCTATGCCGTTAAGGATGTCGTTCGTTGGATCAATCAAGCATTTGTGCGCCTTTTTCTGTTCTAAGCACATGTTTCTACGACATACCATTCTGGATGTTCATTTTTTGTCTCAAAGATCAATAGTTGAGGAAAGATACATGGATTTCAATTGTTATATAAGAGGACCTATGGTGGAAGTTCTCTTCAGGTCGTACAGCAGGTGGTGTTTGTGTCAACTGGCGTAGCTTGTCGAGCATATCAGTTCTTGGAATGTTACCACATATCGGGGAGGGTCCCATGAAATAAAAAGGTTTCGGCCGGTCGTAAACATTACAGAATATTGTTCGTACGAGCCGCATTGATTTAAATGGTTCACAAATTTCAACTGCCGCACACTGTCGCTAGTCGGGAAGTCGACGTATCACGTGTGGAGTATGAGTGCATAACTTTGACCCGTACCAATTGTATTCAGCACGCTTCAGATGAATGAAGATTAATGTTTTGAGTAAGTCCTTCAATGCATTTTTCTTTCAACCTACAAGTAGCAAAACTTTGCCCTTTAACTACCATTTCCAATGGCAATTTAACAGTTTAGCGAATACACTTATTCGCAAACCAATGTGGTTTTGAGGGTAGATTCACCTGGAACCAAGCTAAACCGCTCGTTTATGATCTTGTTAAGCAACTGGATGTGTTGCACGAAGCCGCATCATGTTTCGGTTGCAACCATATTCGAGATTTCGTGTTACGTATATAGGCGTAATACACTACTCATAAGGTCGCTAGTGATTCTCGACAGCCTACGTACCAATTGTATTCAGCACGCTTCAGATGAATGAAGATTAATGTTTTGAGTAAGTCCTTCAATGCATTTTTCTTTCAACCTACAAGTAGCAAAACTTTGCCCTTTAACTACCATTTCCAATGGCAATTTAACAGTTTAGCGAATACACTTATTCGCAAACCAATGTGGTTTTGAGGGTAGATTCACCTGGAACCAAGCTAAACCGCTCGTTTATGATCTTGTTAAGCAACTGGATGTGTTGCACGAAGCCGCATCATGTTTCGGTTGCAACCATATTCGAGATTTCGTGTTACGTATATAGGCGTAATACACTACTCATAAGGTCGCTAGTGATTCTTCGACAGCCTACGACGGATTGAAGATTTTTCAACAACCTTATAAGTAGTGTGCTACATATAATTTGAAGTTTACTACAAAACGTACCATTCAGTAGTATTTATCGGCCCAAATGGCGTTTCCCTTAAGTTTGCCATCTTGAATTTATGCGGATTCAGCTTAAAATCTGTCGGTCATATTGACATCCTGATGCAGAAAATAAATTTAGGCTGTTGGTTCCTCCGTATTACGCCTACCTCTGGAAAAGACTGAAAGTCGCAAAAGAAATACAATGACGTGATGCACATAGGACACTCGGCGATCTCCACAAGCGTGCTTATTTCAGTAAGAAAGAACCTATTTATAGTGTCTAACGCTTTTCCGTAAAAGCCGTGCACTTCTTCAACCCCTATATAACAGTCAAACTGAAGCAACTGGAGCGCAGTGATATTTTTATTAGGACCATCAAAGCAATCTTTGTTGTGAGGAAAACCACCTCGTTCTTCTGACCAGTGATATAGCCAAATCTTCTAATTTTATGTCTTCAGACTCATGTTTGCAAGTAAAATTCACAAAAATCCTTGTGTCTAATATGCTTAATAAAGTTACGCTCGACTGCTTATAATCGCACGCCTTTTTATCGTTAGGGTCGTTTATTCACTCGGCACATGAATGTCAGGCCTGAAGATATCTACACGCCTTGGCCGGCTCTCTCATAGAGACTAAAATCTCAGGTCCTTAGAATACCATTTCTGTGATTTTGCGTCCTCCGATGCGATATTAGGAGGTGCATTTAAACATTTGAAACTGATCAGTGGCAACATGTAAATAAAACCTAAATATGTTTCGTGTTCTGCCCTACATCTGTAAGATCAAATAGTGTGTCATGAGCATCGTTTGCAGAGCAGAAGCCTGCTTAATATGGGTTCTTTTGATTATAACATTCGGTTTTCACTTATAATGTCTAACTGGATACTGGGGCCCCGAGGATTTCTGGTGCTTGCGTCTGTATCGGGTATTCCACCCTATCCAATTTTTCTTCTATTGTAGCGTTGTATTTAAGCAGATTGACTTGGTTGTGTGGCAGTGAAATATCTCTTTTCTCCACTGTGTGTTGGTGCCATTGAAATATTTGACCTAGGTTCTTGTATATATAAATTTACAACGGTGACCGTTGCATACAAAGGAATAAAAGCCGTGTGAAAGCCATAAGTTGACTGAAACTTCCGCTCACTGACAAACTTGTCACACTATATAGTTGGTTTCATCCTTTGCCACTTATCACAAGCTGAGTAGCGCGACTAGCAAATGTATAGCTACAAATGTATACTGAATGTAGGACGCGTGATTTCCATAAATTCTAGCTGTTCATCGGCTCAGTGGCTGAGTAAACAGACAAAAATAACCAATCGCCACCCAGTTGATTGTCAAGGCCTTTTCTATCACAGTGTATGATTGGTTGGCGAGAGACAATATAGCAATCGATTCTCACGCGCTGCAGCGCGCAAATATTCACGTGATGCTCAGACGTTAGAACAAGCTCTATCTATTACAAGCCCAAATATTATGTGATCATGCAATAGCTGTGCCGTTGCCCTCAAAAAACTCACGGGATTATTCTTTCATGTGCCTGTTTAAGATTTTGGAAAGATAATATCCGAGTAAGTATGGATAATGATGAACACTGTGATAATAACATTTCTGTACACCGCCTGACAATAATGAGGTTTGCTCGCGGTACTGCAGAACTTGGTCTTAAATTGAAAGACGGCCATGATGAGTTGAGGCGATTCCTCACATGGCCAGTGACGGCTCACTCTCCGCTTTAGGTAAACCAAATCCTAGAGGAAGATATCACCCAGAAGGAACCTAAGACCAGGTCATTGCTAGTGGATGTGACCATACAAGTTTAAAGTATCTCGAAGCAGTTTGGACTTTTTCTTGATACAGTTTTACTTTTGAGTTTGCTGAAAACTCTTCATTCTTCTTGGAGATCAGCATGCACGCACAGTCACCGAACTTTCACCAAACTTACGTGGTATCCGGATACTGAATTCTACGCAGTTGAGGAACCGAATTCGTTTGTGCACTCAGTTAGTCATCATGAAAGACTTTGCAGGTTCCTGAATTTTTTGCTTAACTATATCCCTTAAATGAACCCACTGCACAAGGCTACATCACTGTTCATTCAGACCGACTCTCTTGGCAGTAGGCCGCCACTATGTTTTAGTTCTCTGACATATAAAGACCTCCACGAAGTAATTATCTATTGTGTTCCTCACTCCCACACTGATTAACTGAATGAATACCATTCTTCGTCCAAACGAGATTCTCATATCTACCGAACACAAACCAACACACTTTCGCGAAATTGGCCAAGCCTTAGTAGAAATAATACGACGATCCACTATCTCAGTGCATATAACTAGCTCAAATCTCGTCGCTTCTACTGTGGCCTTAAGCAGTGCTCTCAGTCTACAATAAATAAAGCTATTGTGTATGGCCGCCGCGAAGAACAATAGTTTATCTTCAGTACAGAACAAGATTTTCGAGTTGTTGTGTAAATCAGCTAAATACCGGCATGAACTTGAATGACTGGAAAAGACAGAGAACCGATGCGGGCATTCTGCTAAACTTCATCCATACAAGAAATGTCGTGAAGATAGCCTACAGTTTTGAAGCTTCCGCATTTATTAAGATGTCTGATGTCGAGCCAACTCTCACGGTACCAAGAGAAGACAGTAGAAGCAAACTGCTCACCTTTCTCCAGATATTTTACCGAAACATAAACGCTTTACAAACCAAAGTTGCAATATCATTTTGATCGGTGCTGTAATATCCCTGAAAGAATTTTCCGGTCAGGCCAACAGAATAACGACTAACTAAAAAAACCAACCTCAATGACTCATTGACGTCATCACAACCGGTCAAAATTACCTACACCGAAATTAGCGCACACAAATCAGAAGCAGTAGGAACCACACTGTCTGAAACCATGTTTTAACTGTTGGTGATTTTCAGCTACCCGGTGCCCAAGCTTTGTCGACTCAGTACATTTGGAATTTAATGTGTGGCTTCTTTGCGCGTGGAACATGCCAGTAAAAGCAAACCGGACTGTTAAAGGCTACTTCAACCCATCAGGTGGTGACCTGCATAAGCATAAGTCTTCAGATTTTTGCTCTACCGAGCGGCAGGCGTTAATATGGTGTTCGTATTATTTACGGAAATTTTTTGAAAACCAAATCAAACCGGTGGTTGGTTTTTTCAAAGATGGTCACTGAAATACTATATTTTAGTTTTGAAATGGAAAATTACAGCTGAAAAACTGTAGTACTTTCAACAAATTAGCTTGATGGAATCAACCTCAAAGTACAACCAATTGAAGGCTTTTCGAGTGTAGGCTTCAGAACGTTTAATAGTCAAACAGCTGTGACCTAAAATTCCCGAAGACCGCCGTTGGAATAATGATGAGACTGAGGCAAGCTGGTTATCGGCAGTCGATTCGGAATTTTTTGGCCTTCAATGTAAACAATTTGAGATCAATATCAAGTCAGGAAATTTTGGGATGTATTCTTAACCCTAATCCAAGAGAGATGGAAATATTGTGACTGAAATTGCTAATGTTTCAAGCGCACGAGGGCCAGCGGCATTTAAGTTTTCTATTAGATAAATCAACAATTGGAGAGGTTTGTGAAAGTTCTATCGAACAATATGTAATTCATATATAGATCAAGTTTTATTCCTGTTGTTTACTCCAACATCCCTCCCAGTTTGTTGTTATTGTAATGGAACAACGCAGGACATGTTTAGATGCAAATATTAGTTAGGCCACATGTGTTTGATCAGTTTTTGACCAAATTCCTGTGAGTTCACAGACAGATTCATGTAACTGAAACATTCTAGTTTGCCACAGATCATAACTTTAATACCATCAGATGAAAACATCTTCACTGAGCAATTACATGAGGATCTGTCTGGAACTTGAATATGGCCGCTTTGGGTATGGTTAAAGCATACACATATATAGTATAAAGGTTTACAACTGTATGCTGATATGGTTCTGCATGTAGAGATTGAAGACGAAACAGACGATTGGAAGAATTTTCCCAGGCTGTCTAATCTGTGTTTTAGGATGCACCCGTACGCATTCTAATCTGTCGTGTTCTAAAGAACTAATCCATTTGGAATTCAGATTTTCACCTACTATCTGCGCTTTGCCCCTTTAAAACTATTCCAAGAACTCATCAACACTGGTTTCGGTAACTAATCCCCAAGTTAGATCCACTAGAGTATATTACAGCTTATTACCATTTACCAAAGACGTTAAAAACAGACAACAACAAAGTTGCATTTTACATGGCCTGAATTAGGATTATTCTTTTTTA